CCCCAAAACCCCAAAACCCCAAAACCCCAAAACCCCTGCTTTTGTTAAATAGTTGAAATTTTAAAGAATAATAATTAATAATATCTAAACTCAATATTTTACCATGTCAAATCCCCTCTACATGATCAGAAAAAGACTCAGGATGTCTAGCCCTGTTGCCAAATGACTCCCTCCTCTTAAACCAGCAAGTATTGATCCTAACCTAAAAATTGCTGACAAGAACTTCAATAGAGCCCCTAGGAAGTCTGTACGATCTCCAGCTAGAATGAACATCAGAGATTTCCCAAATTCACATAATCCTTTCAAACTATCGACTAAGAAGCTATTGGAAGGATTGTCATCTGCCAGGTAGGAATCCTCAGCAATATTTTCCCATTCGATACTTTCGTCTATAAATTTATGCAGGTTTTCTACACAAAGTTTTATATGGGAATAGACACCTAAAGTATACCCTTTCTTACAAGGAAAGTTGTCTGCAGACTAGTAGTAGAGTTTTATGAAGCTGCTCCTTATTCCGCTTCCTTAGTTCTATTTTAATTATTTGGAGGTGGTATGGCTAATATCGGAAACTCATAAGGCTAGTTCGATTCAAGTTACTAATGACAAGAAATTATTATTAAAATCTAGCATTTGTCCAGGATTCCAATTACCTTACTACTATTTGTACTACAAGAAGTTCCAGCTTATTTTTCAATGTAAATATAAAATCATCAGCCAAATAGTGCTCTTTCCCAAAATAGGAACTTGAGAGTATTCAATCACCTCAAGATAATAACTTGCTTTCATATGAAGTTCTCTTGACTAAAAAATCAAATTATTCCTCTTTTGAAACTCTATTTAATTATTAAACTCATCCTAACTGATATACAACATGGGTCTGAAATCCCAAAATAGGACTCTAAACTTCAGCTTAGAAAGCTAGTGGGTTGCTACTACTAGAAATACGATTATGATTCATCTATCTGGATTTCGTTGCAGACATTAATATTTTTCTATATTTTAATACTTAAAGAATTCTTATAGAAAGGAAGTGATGTCAGCCACTCTTAATAAAGGAAAAGAAGATATTAGGAAGATTATTAGGCCAATGAACTTTTATGAGAAAATATCAAATTCAAAGATTATGAATGAGCATGTTCATCAAAGACTAGTGAAGCTTCTAAATAAGCAAGGGCTCAGATGAAATTTGAGCGAGAAGATCAAGAAGATTAACACTAGGAGGAAGGTCAGATGCTCTAAGGCTATAAAGAAGATTATGAGTAGAGTTGTCAATATAAATAGGATGAATAAAACTGTTTTCAGCTGTCCAAGATCCCAATGTCTTAAATAAAAAGTTCTTATTTTCTTAATAATTTTTTGCTATATTTGTCTCAGTGTGGTAATTTCGCTTCTGGCTCTTAATTCACTACAAATTTTAAACTTAGAAAGACTATTTTGATAGAAATAATATAAATTTCTTATTTATAAAAATGCATAATGATTTAATAAATCGAGAATTTCAAATAATACTACGTACTAATGCCCAAAACATGCTGAATATCAGCTCACAACTTCTTATTATATCATATCCCACCCTATCCATCAAAACCCTTCCCTCACTCCTAAACTCCCCCACCCCCATATCTCCCTCTAAACCCTCTTCAAGCCCAATCCACCCACCAAACCCCTCCACTCCCCTAAAAAAATCCCAAAATTCATCCTTCCCACCCCACCCCTCCATAACTCCCACTCACCTTCCCAACCCCCTATCCTCCACCCAAAAAATCCAAAATCTCTACTAACCCCCTCAAAATTTCCACCTATCACTATAAGCCCTACATAAACTTAGCCTAAGACATTGTAGAAATTTACACTAGGAGAGCACCTGACTTATAAATCATGATAGGTTTATTATTGGGTTATTGAATAGATTTGGACGGGCTGTTATGGGGGGTAGGCTGACTTGGGGTGGGATAGATGGTGTATTTCAATAGGGGTAATTTAGGTGGGGTTTTGGGGTTTTGGGGTTTTGGGG